ATGGCCTTTTATTTTTGTCTTTATTTTATTAGTCTATTCTTGATAGTATTATACTTAATTTTTGTTTTTCCAAGCTTCTATAAAATTATGTTTATGGCCTCTATTATTTTCCTTTATGAGATTTTTGTCACATGCAATGTAATTAATGTCCATCCGCCATTTAAACTTACTTTTTCTATTTTATTTTCATAATTAATTATTTCCTTAAATTATACTTGCAGGCCGCGGCGGTGCTCTCGTATTGTCGCGGCTAGGGAATGCAATTCCGCGGATCCACAAATTTCATGCGGATTTACAAATGCGGGATAACACGTGTGAGATCCGGAAGATTTAATTTTTTCCAGCCTGAATTCGCATAACATCATGCACGGCACGAATGCACGATAAGAGGGGGATCCCCTAATCGAAGTACGTATCTGTGTGTGAGATGATTGAATGGGAATTTCTCTCTGTACAGGGATTCCCTAAAATGTCTGTTGCATGATTTTATCCTCTGCTAATGCTTACACTATTTCAGTCGTGACTTGTGAGTTTGTGACGTAGTGTGCGTACTAGTGCGTAGTTTGTGATATGCAATTTAAATAGAAATAAACGGTTTATTTCTATATTTGAACAGCAATATTCAATCTAAATAAAATTAATTAATTAATAACTGGCTATAGGTAAAGTTGGAATCGTGAAATTAAAAATGAGTGCTAAAGGGATTTATAAGGAATACGACAGTAATAAATTTATATGTCAGCACTTTCTAAGATCGGAAGATGGCCTTTCTGGTCAGTGTAAACGTTGTCCTTCTATCATCAAAATAAGCGCTCGATCTACTAAAAGCTTGCAAGTACACATGCGTACGAAGCAAAGATGACAGAGGAATCCGTATGTAGCGTTAGTGATACTGAAACCGCCAGTACAAGCTCTTCTCGGCAGCATTCACAACTTACTTAATACTTCAACGGCGGCTAAAAAGGTAAAAGTCATCACAGATTTTTTTTTCAAAGTCATCAAAATGTTCCATGGAAGAGAGAATATCACGAATGGTCGTTAAGAATTGCATACCATTCTCAAAGTTTACGACATCGATTGACTTACGAGAACTGTTTGAAGCAGAAGGCTATAAACTGCCTGCCTCTGCTCATACAATTAGATCTATTGTAATGGAGCATCGGGCTTCAACTCAAAAGAAAATAGAGGAAGCAGAGAACAATTTCAGAAGCAAGTGTCCGAATCTCATTAATATTTTTCTTTTCCGACTTTAATTCACATAACATAATTTTAATTTTTGTCATTATTTCTGATCAAAATTTAATTATACTATTTGTTTCTTCTAAGTAAATTATATTGTTTCTTTTACTGACTTCTAAAATAACGTTGTGGACTAATAATTCTAAAATATTGTACAATCCTGCAATTCTAGCGGATTCGCGAGACTAATTGCTCCGCACTGCTTAGTAGGATCGCCATGTAATATAGGGGGGTGTGAATGAGAGACGTGTTGCAGTTACTAGAACTTTAATTTTTTTTATAGGATAGGGTGACAAACGAGCACACAGTCCACCTGATGGTAAGTGGTTGCTGTGGCCCATAGACATCTACATGTATCTTCGTTTTCGTATTAAAATGCAGATGCATTGTCACCCGTGAGGACTAAGATAGAATGCTTCTTTTCCAGTAAAAAGGGTCTCCGGTTCTCTACACTCACCATACGAAATACAGCAGTGTTAAGCTACGCTATTTTACGCTGGTATTCTGTGAGAGCGTGGTCCTTCCCCGATCGAGCCGACCCATTCGTGCTACAACTAATATAGCTGCAGCATGGCTCTACCACGTAAGAACGTTTACTTAGTTAATTTACAGCCTATATACGTCCCACTGCTAGGCTCAGGTTTCCTATCATTTCTGAGAGGGTTCCATGGCAAGAAAATGTCCGCCGCGCTGCCCCAATGCGTGTTGACGCACTTCACATGTCTTCGAAATATGTTTTTCTTATTTCTCAGACATGCAGGTTTCCTCACGATGTATTCATTCACCGCCGAGCACGTGGTAAATCAGCACTTAATGCGATTAAAAAATTTCATTGGTGTCGGCGGGAATCGAACACGGCTTGTTCGCGTTCTGTGAAATTTACAGCGAGCACTTAGCCCCTGAGATACCACGGCTCTACTAGAACTTCAATCAGACTAATTCAATTCTCTACACTTTACAGTTAACATTAATATATTATATTATATTATGTCGCAAGGGGTACATTATATCTCTCCGGTCGTGTCGGATTTCTCTGTCCCATCGGACTGTGAGAGTAAAGGAATTATGAGTACACCTGTGCTTGCGTACACACTCGTACACTATAACCTGGCCCTGCGGGGATGGCTAGTTTCCATTAAGACTGACCACCGTGATCGAATTTCGGTCTGAAGTAGCGAAGGACATTATTATAAAGTTATTCGTGACATTTTTCTTTCATTCTATCTAAATCTATGTAACAAGTAACATAAAATAAGGTTTAGGGTAGATTTTTAAAACAATGAACATATTTCTGCCTCTTGAAACCCACAATTTTACTAAGCACAGGACAAATTAATAGTAAGCCTTTTTCCCTTTAGTATTAAGATAGATATTATAAATTTTATGATTATTTGCTTATTACTGTTAATACAATAGATACTTTTTTGATATCAGTTACAATATTTGCAATAGACACAGGTTTGTTCATTTTGTTTTTCATATAATTTAAAGTTAGAGATTGCCATTTTTAATGATCATTTCTTGATTATGATCCTGTTTAAATAATCGATTTAATCGGGCACACAGGCTTTTTTACCGACTTCAAGCAGGAGGAGGTACTTAATTCGACTGTATGATTTTTTTATGTGTGTTACCTCATAACTTTTTCTGGGTGAACCGATTTAGATGACTTTTTTTAGCTGGTGCTTCACATGTGGTCCCATATAAATTTGATCAAGGTCTGATCAAGTTTTTGAGTTATTCTTAATAATTTATGTATATAGAAGTCGGTTGTACAAAATTTTATTATTATATATATATATATATATATATATATATATATATTTTAAATAATTGTAGTCACGAAACTACATCCCGTTAGTGTTAAATTTAAAGCTTCAAAAACAATTGCTCAAAAATATTAATGTCTTATACAGGAATAATTGTAACGTAAACTACTTATGGTATAACGATAGGGTTCGTTTACCTGATTATAAATATTGCAACAAAATATTTATAATATCAATCCGTTCCATTTTTTTAGGTAGATTCTTCTTCCAAAAACAAAAAGAAGTAATATCTTTTTCCGTACTTTTTTTGTAAAGCGCGGCCTGTTTTATAGTAAAGCCTTAAATCGAGCACTTTTCTGCTTTCGCATGTGATTTTGAGTGCAGCAAATAAATACTTTGCTGAAACTTTTGGTGAATTGATCTTTACTAATTCTTGGTCACATTACATTCTTTTCAACTTACTCAAGTATGTTCCTAAGGGTTAAGTGTTTATCAACTTGCCCTCATCAGGGGGTATCGTACAACACTACGCTTGCCTGTACAAAAATGTCATTTCCGTACATTTCTGATTGACGTAAGCAGCCAGCCAGCCTTTTGAGCTCACCAAAGTATTGGATTATGTCAGTGTTAAGTCTACTACAGATATTTAAGATTTTTCGCCGCAACACTAGTAGCGAGGGTATCGGCTATGACCCCACCAACCCGATTTGGAATATCTTAACAATAAAAGCCACCTATCACATTCTCGGAAAGGCCTATGTCAAGCAGTAGAATTAAAAAGACTGTTGTTGATAATAGTGATGATGACGACTGCTACGTTTGTATTTACAAAGCCAGCATTATTTACAGACATCCCTTTTTCAGATAGCTTTTCAACATAAAGAACTCTTTATTAATTTTATTTTAATGTAGGTAAGTGCATAAATTACAAAAGTGAAATCTCTTTAGTCAGGCATTAAAGCCATAATATCACTCGATGAAGACAACGCAAACCCATTCAACCAGCGCAAATCCGTTCATTCACAGAAACCATACTATGCTAGATAATGTTTAGGTTACTTCAGAATTAGCAATGAAAATTCTATAAAAATATATTTTCAAATAACCTAATACTACCATATTTAATAATTTATGATGTATTAAGCAAAGGTGATATTGCATAAGTATAATATAGTATTTATGCATTTCTTAATGTTTTTACATTTATTACATGACATATGAATTCTAATTACCTGTAATTTGTTATTTTATAAGTAATAATATATTAACTTCTGTGATAATATAGTGTTATAACATTTACCTACTTAACAATTACTAGACGCATCACCTGTTAGGTAGGCACTTGTTTTCCAAACACCTGCTCAGTTGTGTGCTTGTGGACATTTTTTTTTCTATACAGCTTCTAGGTATAATTGTTTACTGGTATCCAACAAATCGATAACATGTTTACAGATATCAATTGATTTTCTATTGATTACAGTGATTGGAAAATAAAACTTTAGTGATTTATAGATACAACAAAAAGCACAACGACATGCATGCACATATTTTCTTCAATAACAAAAAAAAACATATCATGAATTTTATCTAGTTGCAAAACATTTCCAACGAAATCTTAATAACATACAGACAAATTAGCAATGCGTATATTAACAATGAGTTTTTCAGGTACTTATTTATCAGGAGGATTATATAGTATATAATTTTCAACAAATTAAATATACTTAATATGTGTAAGAATCACATTGTAAATAATTACTCAATTTTTAATGTTCATAATATAAGCCGAAGCAAATAAGTAAAAACCAACCTTATGATGTTAGAGCGATTCGTATCCATATTTTACTTCCCTCCATTCAAGGTAGGTATGAGAGGCCGACGACATGGGCAGATATTTTAAGAGCAGTGGTCTAAAGTACTTTACATACCAAAAGCACTACGAGTTGATGGAAATAATATTTTCTAAAAAGTTATGCAAATAAAAATTCTTACTTGAGATAATAAATCTGTCCTTCTGGAGTGCGAGCTTGTTCCCAACCGGATGGCAGCGGACCAAGATCATCTGGAATATGTGTGCCAACATCATAAGACCTCTGTTTTGCGTGCTGATGATGTAAAGGTGCCGGCTGAGTCGGTTGTCCTGCTGCATAAGTCTGTTGTAAACTAGCTGGCGACGAGTGCGCTCTAGAGTGAGACACCGGTGCTGCGCCTGTCGCTGACGACGATCCGAACGCCGAATCAGCCGAGTTTTCTCGCGAGTGAGACACAGATGGCGACTTGGAACCGGTCGACGGCGGGTTAAAGAATGACTTTGGAAGCTGTCGCATACGCAGAGGCACCTGTAGCGGTCGCTTAGAGTCCGGCTTAAGCACTGTGTCGAATAAAGACTGTAGAACCGAGTCGGAATCCTGGTCTACGCGGAGGACCAGGTTCGATTTCTGTTCACTGTCCGAATTGAGAGCCATGGTTTAAGTCGGACGAAATAAATCTCGAAACCGACCTGGCCCACCGCAGTGACACAACACTGACACGCGACGGGCTGGCGCGGCGCCACCCGATGTACTTGTATTATAGCGCTCGCTGCGCGACTGACTGACGCACGCCCCGCCCGCACCGCGCAATGTTCCCTGCCCACGCGCACCCGCCGCACCACCCGCGCAGACCGGTCTTCGAGAACGATGCCCCTCAACCTCAACCCGCTTTGCTTAACTTACCTACGTAACTGCTATTCCTTCACTTGCTGTTACCATGACAAAGATTGTAGTCCTAGACTCAAACTGTATTGCCAAAACTTAAAGCTCCATTCCAAAAAAAATCGTTTTTAATAGATATGAACTCAAAATTAAAGAAATAAGCCAATAAGCATGATGTTAATAATACATGATTGTTTCTAACTGCATCAAACTAAATTTAAGCTTTTACAAACATTACGGCAGAAAAGCAGATATAATAAGAACGGCTGTATTGCATTCATACCAAAGATATTTTATTCATACCTTTACAGAATTTCCAAAATATCCTGGCCTGTAGTTCTTTTCCGTATAATTATAACATATACAAATTATTTAATAGTCGAAAAACCATAACATAATATACACTATTAAACATTTATTTTTATTAGATTGTAAAATAAAGGAAAGATTGAGAATAATACCTATATTCAAATTTTAATAAAGTTTGGAGTTTTGAGACTAAACGACAATTCTGAAACAACCCGCCATATATACAAATGTGTTGCCATAGGCAGTGATCATAAAATAAACTATAAGAAACAAAAGTTGAAATAAAATCAAATATAAAATAATGATAGGAATCAAAATTTCAAAAATATGTACAGTACTGATTACAAAGAGTAACTATATAATTATTAAGTTTAACTGATTAATTAAAAACCATTAAGGGTTGACTAACTTTTGTGTAACTTTAACTGTCATTTAATTGAGAAGTTACCTTTAAATTAAAGTATATCAGTTACTAGAGTATTATACTAATACCACAGAATAAATAATAGTTAAAAGAAATACACAGAACAAAGCCTCAGTGGTTTGCTCTTTAATTTTTTTTTTGAACATTCAACTCTTTTTTATTTTTTTTTTATTCATGAATATAGGTGGTTTGATTTATTTATTAATAATCTAATTAATATAAAATATAACTATTATTATAGAAACAAAAATTAACCTTCACATTTTTCGAACAAATTAGCTTGAAATCTGTCAAATAATACACCTCAATTTTAAGTGGCACCGCCCTGGTGGCAAAACAAGTCGTGGATTCCATCATTACTCTGAACACTTTCTGTCTTTAAACATCGACAATTTTAATTTATATATCGAGGAGACAGGAGTTTTTGCGGGAACATTTTTGTTGGAAGTGGATTTTGCCAACTAAGTTATGCTATTTTGTGTATTAAAAGTTTGCATGTAAACTATTTGTGGAAATAACGAAAAAACTGCTCCGATGATGATATAAACCTCAAGTTAGTTTGTTTGCTTAGGTGCCTTAAGAATTTGAAAAGCAATCGTCATTGACTGTCCGCAGGATTAAACTGTCGTCAAAAGCTCCAAGGAGCATATTGTTGTAAAGAAGTTTTATAAAATATTTTAGACCCTAAAACATATAAATTATCTTTATATATATACTAGCTGCACAGGCGTTGTTTTGCCCTCTCCGACGACCCTGTGTCCTATAAATTTTTTTAATAAAATATATTGAGTGTCACTTATAGGGATAAGAACTATCCTATCTCTCAAGTTGGACCAAACTGCACACAGTGTACAGTGTGCAAAATTTTATTGAAATTATTTCAATAGTTTAGGAGTTCATCGCGGACAAACAATGTGACACGTAATTTTTATATATAAAGATATAAAGTTTGTTTTTGGGAGTACAACTTCGATCAAGTGGTCAATCGACTGCCAGTGCGCCTTGCCAGTGATGACCTATGGATCTGAGACGTGGTCTTTCACTGCTGACCGTATGAGAAAGCTCAAGGCCGGTCAGCGAGCTACGGAGAGGGCTATGCTCAGGGTTTCTTTGAGTGATAGACTTAAAAAAGAGGATTTCTGTAGTAGAAACAGATTAACCGGCATAGCTCAACGGATTAGTAAGCTGAAATGGCATGAACCAGCCATATAGCTCAAAGAACCGACAACCGATGGGGTAGTCGAAGTGTAGGGCGTCCCTCCACTAGATAAAGTGACGACCTGGTAAGGAATGCAAGAAGTCGATGGATCATGGGCAGCCTATATTCAGCAATAGACTTATGAAGGGCTGTAATGATAATGATGACCATATGATAATCTGTGACTTAGGTTAAGAAAATTGGAGTAACACAAGATGTTAATTCACTTTTTAGATACCTAGGTAGGGAGAACCGTTTGAGGTGGGTAAATAAGCTCTCATATGCGTATAGGCTGGAATGTGGCGTAAGGCCGGGCGGATAAAGCTCAACATTGCTTTTTAGCCTGTACGTGAACGAACTGATTGAGAGACTCAGCAGAATGCTTATAGGCTGCTACGTGGACGGTAATGTGTCAATTATTTCGGTTATGTCGATGACATGGTGGTGCTGATTTCTTCAGTTAGCACACTGCGAAAAAAAGAACGTGTGATTTGCAATATAATGTCAAGAAGACGAAGTTCATGATTTTCAGGATGGGTATCAACTATCCAACTTACGTTTCACCAATAAAAGTTAATAGCACTTAGTAGAGCTTAAAAATTTAAACACCTTGAGCACGTGGTACCTTAAGGCCTTGTGTATGATGCTGACATGGAGAGGTAATGCCGGGCATTATGGCCCGCAGGTTTCACCTTAATCAAATAGTACTGTTCATCCCTTTACTCAGCAAGCCTGTGGTTACAATTTACGCAAAGAACTTACAATGACCACTTTGTGAGTCCAATATAACAATGCGTTGAGAATTATGTTGTGGCTGCCTCGGTTTTTTATTATAGGATAGGGTGACAAACGTTCACACAGTCCACCTGATGGTAAGTGGTTGCTGTGGCCCATAGACATCTACATCTATCTTGGTTTGCGAATCAAAATGCAGATGCGTTATGACCCATGAGTACTAAGATGGAATGCCTCTTTTCCAGTAAAAACAGCCTCCGGTTCTCTACACTCTCCATACAAAACACAGTAGTTTTAAGCTGTTATTTTACGCTGGTATTCTGTGAGAGCGTGGTCCTTTCCCGGTTGAACCGACCCATTCGTGCTACAACTATACTACTAATATAGCTGCAGCATGGCTCTACCACGTAAAAGAGGTTCTGTAGTGCTTCGACTATGTTTACTGTGGCATGGACAGATGGCTTTGATGTAATCTGATGCTAGAAAACAGCCTCGCTATTAACCATAGTCTGTGAGAGCAGCAACAGCATCCTGCACATGGTAACAGGGAAAATATATGGTTCACTGATTGGAAATCTAACTAAGGACTAAATTCCTTTTACTCTTTATTATGAACACTATAAGACGATGACAATCTATACATACATATATACATACAAATAAATAAAATTGAAGTGTCTGTTTGTAATGTCAAAATAACAGATTTTAACTAAATGTATATGAAAGTGTATACGGTACTTATAACAAGAACACAATTTTTAAAATTGTTGTCTGTATGTCGGTCTGTCTGTCTGTCTGTCTGTTTGTTCCGGCTAATCTCCGAAACGGCTGGACCGATTTTGACGGGACTCACTGACAGATAGCTGATTTCATAAGGAGTAACTTAGGCTACTTTTATTTTAGAAAAATAATTAGGGTTCCGCGCAAAAACATAAAACCCTATTACGTGACCGAAGTCGCGGGGAACAGCTAGTTTTAAATATTTAAATAAGATGTACAATGCTAAGCTTAATCCTTATAAGAGTTTTTTTTTATATTATTTTAAGCCAGCGCTATACTACAATCCCACCTGATGGTAAGTGGTGATGTAGCCTAAGATGCAAGCAAGCCCTTTAGAAAAGAGAAATAGTGTTATGAAAGAGAAATATGTAAAGCAAGTAGGTAGCAGCGTGCGTACTTTATAATGAACAAAATGATTGCTTAATAGAAATTGGCTATAAGTTATATTTAACAATTAACATAACATATTATATGTGTATAAATATAGGTAATTATATTTTCTTTTTCTATTTCTACGAGTGTGAATAATACATATACAGGGTTATTTTGATATGAAAGTATATACGGCCCAATCCCCCCCCCCCCCATCAACTAACTGCTCGCGGGGCAAACTGAGCAACAATACCAAGACGACCCTGCCACGCTATACGTGAATTTCTGCATCATCAGGGGAGTTCACTCGAACCTAAACGCCGTCCACTACCATCTCGAGACGGCGAAGCTGGCCTTGCTCTGTCTGACCGAGACGCAGGTGTCCTCTCCGGCTAATACTTCGTATCTCTTCTACCCGGGGTACAAATTGGAGCACTCCTTTGTGCCTCGGGCTGGAGTTGGCGTGTATGTCAGAGAGGACATCTGTCTTCGACGCCTCGGCAGTCTTGAAGGTTCGGACCTGTCCATCCTTTGGCTACGCGTAGACAGCGACGACCATACGCGCGTCTACGGGTGCTTCTATAGGTCCCATAGCGGTAATGCCGAAACAGACCGACTCATCGACCACGTGCAAATGGTTACAGATTCCTTGCTACAACAGGTCCCATCCGCAGAGATCGTGATCCTTGGCGATTTTAATGCCCACCACGCCGAATGGCTCGGTTCACGTTTAACCGATCATGCGGGGAGATCTGCTTATGACTTTGCCTTGGCATATGGTCTGACACAACTGGTTACTTCGCCTACGCGGATTCCAGATGTGGAGGATCATACACCTTCCCTGTTGGACCTTCTGCTGACCTCTCATCCGGACGGATATCAGGTTTCCATCGATGCCCCTCTCGGCTCTTCGGTCCATTGTCTGATTCAGATTGTGGTGCCACTCACGCTCCC